AGAAACAAAAGGGGCTTACTTGCTGACTGATGAACTATCACGTGGTGCATTCATTTCTGAAAACCTATTCCTTATCATTACTTCTTCTCTAGCACAAGCAGCAGCAGCTCTTACTTCCTCTTCAGAGAGACCCTTTCATCCAGAAGATTATATAGATGGAAAACAGTTGCATATTTTAAGTCAAACATAGATGAAAGCAAGACAAATAATTCAAAAACGGAGATTACCTGTGCACGTGCAGCAGCAGCTGCTGCATTAGAGGCCTCCTCAACTTCCTGCTGATTTTTCGCTGCTGTTATTTTACCTCCCAATTTGTTGAGATATTCTTCGGTTTGAGTTAAAAATGAAGACAAAACAGCATATCTTTCTGCAGCCTCCCCTGGTACATTAGTCTGTTGTTCAAGCAGCATCTCCCTATACCTTTCTACATCATTATTCTTCAACGCTTCCATCCTTTTATTACGACCATCATCCCTCTTCTTGGAGAACTCTCTCAACATCCTCTCATGATACTTGTGAACTCCCCTGTTGCGAGCAGTTCTAGCATCACGAATGGCCCAATGTGCCTCGAGAAGCTTCTTGCGCCACTGGAATATGGATTTCAGTTGCTTCTCCCTAGTTGCCTTCTGATTGGCCTGTGCTTGCCGGTTGAGATTCTGACGCTGGCGCTCACAAAGTCGAACAAACTTTCGATATGGTCTATCGGGCATGGCCATTATTTCAATTTGTTGTTGCTCGATTTCCTCCCTCAAGCGCGCCTGACAATCTGCAAGTTGGAGCTTTTTCGATTCAATTTGTAGCCTCGTGACGAGATCAGGTCTAATTCGCTTCCTCTCCAAGTTAATAGCAAGTATTTTATCAATCTTCTCTACTTTCTCTTTCCTCCTCTTGCGGATATCTCCACCTTCATCAGCAAAGAGATCTTTAATATCGTACGCTAGAGTCAAATTATTATTATTGTTCATCATAGATGATCCAAGAGCATCATGTTTCCTGGTGAAAACAGGGAAATCAAATAAAGGCCCATGATATTTTCTGGCTGGACAAGTATCCTTAGGTTGGGTTGCTTTACTTGCTTGAACGGGCTTCTTGGCTTGCATTGAATCTGAAATGCTTGGCTCTGGGGCAATTCCTTTACCCCTATCTGCATGTTCACTCCTTAAAGGAGTTTTTTGATAACCTAGTTCAAACTCCTGGTCCGGTTTACCAGAATTACTAAGGCTTTGATGCTCTTCCTTTCCAGGTGGAACAATCGTATCCTTCACCGTTACTGAGGAACTTTGCATGTTAACCGTTGACACAGCTAGCCTATCATCTGCTTCCTCTTTTAATTTATTTGTTTCAATTGCCGATTTTACACCCTTCTCACTAGCACCCATATGTTTTGCATGATCAACTTCAACTTCTACTGCTGATTTAACTTTGGTAGCAGTTAGAGGAGGTGAAGACACCTGCTGCATCTGCAAATCAAGTGGCCGGGGAGCAATAGCTTGAAGCAATTCACGTGGCAGAGTCATATCTCCTTTCTGATACGAAAGCGAAAGGAAAAAAAAAAAAAAACATTATTAGAAAAGCTTTTGTCAAAAATCAAGAGGAAATATAAATCCATATAAAGGAGAAGAGATAAAGAGCATAGACAATTATTTTCGACCAAAACACAAAATTCCTTAAAAGTGTAAGAAAAAACTTCCCTAACCTTGAGGCGCCTAAACGCGAGTATTTGTGCTTTGAGTACATGCAGTTGCTGCTTTGTAAACCCAGTATGCGAAGGTCGCGTATCTTGAGCCGGGACACCCTGAGAAGTTGACATATTACCTACATCCCTGCTATTAGACGGAGCTGCGGGCTGTGAAGCGGAACGATTAAAACCATCTAGAACAGCCGAACTCTTACCAAGTACACCGTCGGATCCTGGGTTCAAACTACCAGATGATTGTTGACCAATCAAAGTGCTATGTCTTGATGGTAACTGGTTATCTCTACTGTGCAAAGAAAACTGCTGCATAGGCGTTTTGCCAGAGTTGCTAACCGCAACTGATTGCCCCGAGACGTCACTTGAAGAGTTTCCATGGGGAGAACTTTCGTTTCCAACTTGTGCTGATGTGGCGTGCTGTTTCACAAGAGATGCTGTCTGTGTACTGATACTGCTTTCGTTCCCCTTTTGCTGGGAAATCATCCTCGACTGCATGATGGGGATGTGTTGGGCCATCACATTTGCAGTTGCTGGATTCGAAAGGTCAATATTACGCTCAACCGCTAAAGCACGCATCGCCTGCATCTGTGCAGCCATGGCAACTGAATTGTTTGCTGTCATGTTCATAATGTTTTGCTGCAAATTTGGGCCAATCATTGGTGACGATTGCGTTGCTTGACCAAGCACGGTGGAATTGTTTGCTTTTTCATTTGGACTGGCCTGAGGCTGAGTCTGAGGCTGAGACTGATTGGCTGCTTGCATTGAGATCAACTCTTGCATCTTCATATTTGCCAAACGCATTTCTTGCTCTTTGCTAAAAGAGCCAAACATTCCAGGTCTCACTTGCATACCCACGTTTGGTTTGTGTTGGCTCGCCTGGAATGCATATTGCAGGTAAGCTTGTTGAATAGGATTCAATGTTTGTTGCTCAACACTTTGAGTTATGTTCTGACTTTGTTCGGGAATACTGGGAGAACCTTGCTGTTGTCCCATATCCATGAATTTTCTGGGCTGTTGAGGTAGCTGCATGGCCCCAGAGGCCGCAGAAAAATTGGGCCCCAGAGGAACTCCATGAATATTGCCAGCTTGGAAGGCCAATAAGGCATCATTCCCTTCAGGTCTTCTAAGAAATTGTTGTTCAAATGACTGCAAATAGCATTCGACGATTACCTCGTTGAATATGTAATGGAACAATATAATGTGGTTTACAAATTGAGTTGTTTGGTAAAACAGTTCCTTGCTCAAAGACAATAATAAGGAACAAACAAATACAGAACACTAAACAATGGATAGTTCTTAATGAAATGCAGAATAGCTAAACAGCATCATTAGATATGGAAAAGCTGTTAAACAAAACTGAATAACATATTCAGCTTCTTGAAAGAGAGAAGTTTAAATTACAACGCCAGTACACCACGGAGGAAGCCAGGACGGATTTATGGCGAGCTAACTATGAACTTTTGGAAGAGTAAAGAGATGGTAACAAAAATGTAGTAGGAATATAAATAGCCAATGAAAAACACAAATGTTAAAAGTCCCACAAACTACGTTTACCTCAGACAGTTAAACTCAATACAGAAACTTCTTCAGGAAAACACCAGCCTACACAGTCAAATAAGCTCTCACCTGTCTTTGCTGCTGCTCGAATGCCGATACGGCTGAGGAAGATG